ACCTACACCAGCTTTACAAACTGAACAGGGCCATCGTCCAGTAGCTGTGGATTGGATGGGTTCACCAGTGTTCATTGCTTTGGTTTTGCTGATGTTGACTTTGAATCCATGATCGGCGAGTCTGGTGTTTCAATCTTCAAACATCTGTGCTGCATTCTGCTCAGACGTGGCTGTTAAAACGATATCATCAGCATATATTAGATTCCAAATGTCACCAGTACGTATAGGTTTTGTGATTTCTTCCATCACAGTTATAAATAACAGTGGACTGAGAATCCAACCTATGTGAACTCCAACGCCGATGTCAAATGCATCTGTGTTTCCAACCGTTGTGCTGACGAAAGTCTTAGTGTTCGTATACATTTCCATCCTTCATAGCTTTCAGAGCTTCTGTAAGCTCCTCTACAGTGATGTCTGGAATCGGACCTTCGATGGGTGGAGCGTCAAAGTTGATATTGATGGGATTTGTTTCATTTAACAGACGGTATTCTCCCCACTGTATCTTGATCTTGTTCAAGAATCATCTCATTTTTGTCGTTTTTGATACATGAGGCACCAATTTTGTGTATTTGGTATTAAAAAGTTTAAAAAAATAAATTTATCAAACATTATTTAAATTTTTAATTTTAGTTGTTGGAGCGAAGTCCTCTAAAAAGTCTGGAGGAGCATCAAGTTCTGGCCCATTGACTCAAAACTCACCAGCAGGTTTTTGTTGTTTTTAATAAACTATTTTCACAAACTTCAATTAATTTAATATTATTAGTTATGTGTTTTTTGGGTGTTCAAATTGTTTTTATAATTTATTGGCTTTTCAATAAACTTTCTCGTCATCTTTTCTTTTAGTTTTTGGCATTAAAACATCACATTGAATCGTGCAGATTATTGTGACCACGTTTGAAACTTTCTTATAACGTAACTTGCCGTAAGTCATCATCAGCATCCAATAAAATGTCAATTTTATTTAACAAATTTAGAAGGAAAACATTTTTAGAAATATTTTTTTTAAATATAACAACATTTAATTTCCAGTAAACAAACCAGCGAGCAATGGGTTGAATCCTGTGTGTCCTCGACCGACACCTGTCTGGCAAAAAAGCATCGATACCTTTATGAAGCCACGAAAAAATAATGATTGAAATGTTTAATTTTTATTTACGGTTGAAGTTTGTGTCCACTATGGTTACAGCTCATTGTAGATAAGCATTGTAGATTAGTAAGCATTAAATTAAATAAATGTATAACTATGCCTTTGTAGAAGACAGTTTTTTCATTTTTTTTATTTAAATTAATCGAAAATATTGAAAAGATGAATGAACTCCAGAAATCATGGAAGCTTTTATTTTCTTTTGTTAAACTCATTCAGCGACAAATGTGCTGTTCAGACTTGACTTTTAAAACATGCATCAGAGGCGGCCAATTAAAACTGGTAGAACAAAACGTTTAGATACAAGCAAAGTTGTCAAGCCATCAAACTCTCAAATGTTTTCACTTTAGTTTTAATCGATAACATTTCTCGTTGGATTGCTATTTCAATTTCTTGTGAGTCGTAGGTTTTAGAATTGCCAAGGTATACAAACTATTACATTTGTTTATCTTTTACTTTTGTTAAGCAACCTGCGAGCTTTAATGTATCTCTAGTAATAATTCCACCCGTTGCAGATTATCTTTCCTTTGCAATGGTGACATATAATAAATAGAATGAAGGTATAGGACTTCACGTTTGTAGCACACGTGACGGTGGTGGCACACAAGAACCTGAATTGGCAGAATTTTTTCAAGTTTTTCATCCCAGGAATATTTCAACTGATTTAACGTTATTTTGTTTTACAAACTGGTCGTTGGAGAAAATAAAATCCGTTAACGAAAATAGAAACGAAATTAACTAAAAAAACGACATTATTCGACTCTAACGACGAGTTAATTTTCCGATGTTGCGCGTATTACATTTAATTCTTAATGACTTCATTGGCATGTCATCGTATCGGTTCCATTGAGCTTGCCCGTGGATGCTTCGACATATAGGTATAAATGAAAATGGCCTTTTGATAAATTTAAACCGTCATATGATGCATGCGCGTTATATATTTGTCAATTAAATGCAGTGGCGGCTTTGGGTCTAAATACCCCCACAATGAAAATTTTGCCACGGCACGACAAAACTTAACCGGATCTCAGTATAAATTTGTACTGATAACTATTTCATCCTACTGAAAAACTGTTGAATATATTTTTGATAAAATTTAGAGAGAATACATCTGACGTAAAAAAAATGTCAATTTTTTTAACAAGATCTAAGTAAACAATTGTTTCAGTAACAAATTTGTAAAAAATTTGCCTTAATATTTTAGAGATTTAAATAAAATGTTTGACTGAATTTTGTGAATTCACCTAAATATAAAAATTGTGTTAAATTTTATCCAACTTGCGCTTATGTTCGTTATTAGAATCTTTATTATTACAAAACTTTTTGATAAAGCGGTAAAAAAAGCGGCCAATAAACTTTTTGTGACGTCGTGATTGTAGACACTCTTCTTCATTAATTAAAACATCTTGATAATCCTTAAGCAAAAATGGAAATAATGACAAAACTGGAATGGAAACTGAAACAAACTTCTAAAAAAGGAAATAAAAAGCTGAAATAAATTCAAAACGATAGTTGGAATATTTTTGTTTGTTATTCGGATCTTGATGTTTTACTATGAACATATCAAACATAAAATAATTTGCCGCTGATCACCTTTAACATCATTTGATCGGAAGTTTTGTTTAAAGAGTCGTTTTCTTCCTGTTAAACATGGTCGGGATATATATTCAACATATATAATAGTCAGCACTAACTAAAATTTACAAAACAGAAAAAAGGTAACTTCTTGATCCAACCAGCGGTTATCTTAACAGAATAATAAAAAAGACGGAAGAAACTGCTTTCTTTCTTATTTACTTAACTCACATACTTTTAATACTAAACTAAACCAATAAATAGTAAATGATAATATTATGTACAATAAATTGCGTACATGCCCTTCTGTGCACTCGAGACCCATAAACTAACATTAACATGTGAGTTGGGTCAAAATGATGGTTTTTAAGACTGTTGTTTTTAACCATGGGCTCGTACACAAAATTACGTTCATGTATTTATATTTCCACTTTTGACTTTGATATGTTAGATGCCAGAATTGCACAAAAACTTCACTTTTAATTAAAAAATAAAATAAATAAAACAATGAATATTCTGTAAATTAAATTAAATTGTGTGTTAAGTTTCCACTTTTGAGTTTGATATGTGAAATGCAGGAGTTATCCACTTGCCACAGGAGCACTGGTTACCTGAAAATAACGTCATATCAACTGTAACAACCGCCAGAATCATAAAAATGGAAATAACGAAAGACGAAGGTGAGCTGTAATAACTTGCATCGATACTTTATTTATCAGATGTAAGCAAAATTTCAAAATAACCTGATCACTCAATCTAATGCAATATCATCGACCCCATGACAAGCAAATCATTTTCTGCACATACTTATAATTACACTTGCATTGATATTTTATTTATCAGATGTAAGCAAAAATTCAACCCGACTGCAAGAACACATAACGTGACGATTCACTTACACGGCTAGCACGTTTTTTACTGGTTATTAAGTAATAAGGCGGGATGTTATGCACTTTTAACTGTGAAATTGCTTGTGATATGCTAAGTCGTTACAAAGTGAGTAAATCAAGCTACAAAGTGAATCAAGCATTAAATCAAAGCATTCATGATTTCATAGTAATTATATAAAATACTGTTATTAAATTAATAGAATAGGTCGCCTGGTTAACCCAGTTGATAGAAGTGCCTGTCTAGCTCTGCCATCACACGATGGCATGGTTCGAATACTGTCTGTCCGAAACTCAAAGACCACCATACGCGTGCATATGTTTGTGCGTCCTGCGGTGTGGACAGTACGGCACCAAAGCTTCATTACAGTAGACGATAGTAGCATGTAGGCAGCTCTGCATTTGACTAAGTTGCATTATAAAGAAAACAATGCAAATTTATCCTTGATTGAAATGTTGGTCTAAAATAATGGCACTAACGAGATAACAACCGTTGCAGCGGCACAACTACATCAAAAATTGACATTCATAAAGAGCTTCATTGCAGTCGACGAACAACACTCGATTGATTAACACGAACGGCGACAGAAACTGTGATAGTGTAGACAGAACGGAGAATAACAGTAATTCTAATTAGCTATTAACAGCTGAATCGATTGCCAGCTACTAAGTCGCCAAAGGAATTTCTTTGATTTTACTAATACAATAAAAATAATAAATAAATATAAAAATGATTTGATGTAACTTTTTTGAAACCAACTTGTGCTTCTGTCTCTAAGGTGACAAACGTAGTAAAAAGAAGTTATATAGATGTATGTGAATGCTAGTAAAAAACCATAATTAATACAGTAATTTATGAAATCTACCGAATTTCTAGCGTTGGATGTAATTATTACATTTCTCAATATTTCGAACCAAATTCTTGTCGCCATTATTTTATAAAAGTTAAAATAATACACAGCTTTCCAATTCATTCTCGAGTGTTTCGGGCCTATTTCGATTTTTCAATCATCATCAACACTTGTTGCAGTTTATACAGATAATTTGTATAGCCCAGTATTTGTTGCGACAAAATTAATAGAATTATTATCTAAGTTCATCATGAAAATTTAATCAAACTGTTGTTATCCAAATTCATAAATTTGAATAACAACAGTTTGATTAAATTTTCATGATGAACTTAGATAATAATTCTATTTTCAATAAATTGAACAATTTCCAGAAAATTCTAATAAGGAAAATTGAAAAGATAAATTTTAAATTGATTAATGCCAACAATTCGGTAGAATTCAACAGACAATCATTTTTAACTCCCCTATCGGTTAAAGTTTTCTTAATTTTTTTCGTCATTCAATTTCAAACGCAAATATGTAACAAGTTTTTTAATAAACAAATCACCTGTCCAGGAGAACGAGCCTAGCTTGCAGTGACATTTCGGACACATGATCTGAAATTATTTTTTCAACTTAATATTGTCATAAATAAAAAAATCAATTGATGTTATCACAATTGTCAACATAAGTTGATTTCAGTTAAGTTCATTTGAACGACAACTGTGCGTCCATCCATCAAGGTTCAAAGCAGTCACAGAACCAATTCACAAATGGCCAGCATAGTTTGAACCAATCGCTAACATTGACCTACAGACTGCATTACAAACTTATATTGCTGTTGCAGTTACTAAGCTAAAACACGGTTTTACCTATTAACTTAAGCCAGTAAAACAATATTCGATGTTACATTTCAAGTTACATGAGTGGTTTGCAGCGACGTTCAGGCAGTCCTTCTTGGAACACTTACCAGAATCTTTGGTTTATAAATGGTGATGTAAATTTTTGAAGCCTCAAAAGAAACAAAAAACAAAATCAGTAAAGGAAAATGTTAAACCTTGCCGGAAAGACATAAAATTGAATCTTTCATCCACAAAACTGGTTCAATGAAGATTGAGGTGGTGCAGGTATCACCGTTAGTGTTGTTGCTGTTGTTAGTGTTGTTGTTGTGTGGGGGAAACTGCTTGAAATTTTTCTTACTGTTCATTTTAACAGTTGAATTTTCCACGTTATGTTTTATGAGATTCGAATGTTTAAACAGAGGCCTCCTGGAAATGAATACATGAATTGTGATTTATAAATTATGTAAGCTGGTTCGTAAATTATGTATGCTGAACCTCTATATGCAATTACAAATTTTTTAAAAATTATTAAGGGTGATTTCCAGCAACAATATAGTTGATTGGTTAATAAGAACAACAAGTTGATAGTTGATTGATTGATCGACAGATAAATCAATTGATAAATTAATTGATTGACTGATTGATTGAATGCATGAATTATTGATTGAATGATTGATTAGAAACGCCAGCTTACCTGCAGGCTTTACATTTAAACAGCGACACCGGCGTGTGATTAACAACAGGATCTGCGGCCCACAAAATCTCATCCAAACTGGAAAAATCTGCATCAATAAATGTTTCTTCATCAGCCCATTACAAATTTCATTCTTAGTGAATGCATCTAAGCGAACGTTTGTGTTTCATGGAAACTGGTGAATCTGAATGAACGCATTATAAATAAATTTCGGAACGTTGTGAACTAGAAGGGATATTTTTGACCACAGCCCCTTAGATGAATGAAAAATAAGTAAAGACAAACAGTACATATATAATTTCCGACCTGGTCGAAAATTCTCACCCTTCATATACTCACGTACTTGTGGATTCAAGTCGAATCACTCAGTCACTCAGTCACTCACTCACTCACTCACACGCACACACACACACACACACGTATATATATATATATATATATATATATAACATAAGATAACAATAACATTAGAAAACATCTCGTAACTATGTTGTGAATGAGATGAGTTTATCATCTTCCTAGACAACCAAAGATATTATTAATGTAACAATGTAATGTAATTTCTTAATTTTTCAAATTCTAAAACTACTTTAGACCGTCTGAAATATTTTGATCTGTAAGTTTGTTTCTATTCAAATAAATCTTTAATATCATTTTGTAAACTCTATCAACGACTATAACTTTCTTTATTCATGAATATTTTTAACAATGTGATCTGAAATTGTTGAATTTGTTCATCAATATAAAAATACAATGTTGCAAAAAATCTCCTCCGTCATTTCTTAAAACCTTCTGAAATTTCCTGCTATAAAGGTTCAGCAAATTTTTCTTTTTCCAAAAGAATATTTAGAAAACTCTCTATTTAAAAAACTGTTGTTTTTTTTCTTAAATTGCACCTCAAATAAAATTTATACGTTGATAAGAGTGTAAAATGCTTTCTAAATCTAAATGCATCAACAATAAGATAGGTTCATCTAGCTAGCTTTGTAACGAAATTCCATGAAGCAACGTCATGGTGAATTGAACGTTTAACACAAATATAAATCGACGACACGTAACAACAGGAATGAGATTACAAAGTAATAACAAAAAAATAACATGACAACTCAAAAAATAGAAGATCCAGTCTATATATAATAAGCTGTGTAAGACTTAACAATTATGCAACTCAAATACAAATCCCGATAAAATAAAAGTTGGTGCAAATTATTAAGTTAGTTATGATAAGAATAGTTGAAAAGGAAAGAAAGGACCACTTTATACTTTGAGTTGAGATGATCATTTCTGAAAATAAATTCAAGCAATATCGCCTGTACAGGTCATTGCCGTCGTCGACAACATTCCCCATCTGCTCGAAAAGTTTCAACTGCTCAACGAATCCTGGATTTGGACTGCAATACATCGAACGTCAACAAACAGTTCCACACTTTGAAATTGAGAATTCAACAAACTACCTTATCAGCGGCCTCATCTTCTTGGCATAGACAGAAGCATCAAGATACGTCAGCGAGAGCTGGCGCATTAGAAATGCAATCATCACTGACCCACTCCTCGACATGCCGGCGTTACTGTTGTTACATTTGTTCAGTTAGGTTAATAAAAATTAATTTTTGGAATAAATACAAATTCGGTTAACTAAGAGTGAATAAAGCTAAAACTATAACAGCTAAACAGCAAATATCGACCTAATAATTATTATTCAAGTTGAGAATCAATTATATAATATTTGATGCGTGTGAATATCGACCTAATAATTATTATTCAAGTTGAGAATCAATTATATAATATTTGATGCGTGTGAATAAAGAAATGGGGAGGAGGAAGAAGGATAAGTTTGTGGCAAAGAGAAAGACATGGAAGTTGCAGGATGCAGAGGTGAGGAAGGCATTTGAAGTGAAGGTGGCTGAAAATTGGGAGTGTGGTAAGGATGGAGATGTTTGGTAGAAATACAGGGACTGTGTGTTGGCTACGGCAGATAAAGTATGTGGATGGACGAAAGGAAAGTGTAGGCATGGTGAGACGTGGTGGTGGGATGAAGATATAAGAAGGGTTTTGGAGGTCAAGAAGGAGAGGTTTAGGGTATGGAGAAGGGACATGACGGAGAAAGCGGAGTCTGAATATAGGAAGGCTAAGAAGGTTGCCAAACAGGCAGTGGCAACCGCAATGACGAAAGCATCAGATAGGTTAATGAAGGAAATGGAATTTGATGTGAGTTCGAGGAAAATGTCCAAAGTAGCAAAGCAGTCAATGAGGGATAGGAAAGATGTTATAGGGAATGGATGTGTTTGGGATGGATCTGGCAAGTTGTGCATAGATGAGGAGGAAAAAGCTCAGGTGAGGGAAGCTCATATGGAAAGGTTGATGAATGAAGAGAATGAGTGGGATGGAGATGTGGAATCCGCGGTCACACACGGACCTATAGAGAAGGTGACGATGGAGGAAGTAGAGAAAGCAGTTAGAGAAATGAAGCTAGGTAAGGCGACAGGGGTTTCGGAAGTGGCGGCAGAACATATAAAAGCGAGTGGGGTGATAGGAATTGAAGTTATGATGAGAATTGCTAACAGTATGTTTGATGATGAAGGTATACCTGAGGATTGGCGACAGTGTGTTGGTGCCGTTGTATAAGGGCAAAGGAGATGTAAGAGATTGTGGGTCATATAGGGGTGTGAAATTGCTAGAGCACGGAATGAAGGTAGTGGAGAGGGTGCTTGAGAGGAGGTTGAGAAATATGGTGACAGTTAATGAAATGCAGTGTGGGTTTATGCCTGGTAGGGGAACGGTGGATGCGTTGTTCATGGTGAGAATGTTGCAGGAGAGTTATAGAAAGAAGAAACGAAGATTGTACATGTGTTTTGTGGATCTAGAAAAGGCTTTTGATCGAGTACCGAGGAAGGTCAGAATGGGCGTTGAGGAAGAAAGGAGTGAATGAGCGACTTGTTAAAGCTGTGATGCAGCTGTATGAAGGGGCAAAGACAAAGGTGAGGGTTGGAAGGGGGGTGTCGGACGCTTTTAGTGTTAAGGTAGGAGTGCATCAAGGATCAGTGTTATCACTGTTTCTGTTTGCAATTGTGATGGATGTTGTGTGTGGAAACATAATGGAGGGGTTGTTATTTAAGATTTTGTATGCAGATGATTTAGTCTTGATGGCTGATAGCATGGAAGAATTGCAGTTAAAATTTGACAGATGGAAAAGTGTTATTGAAAAGAAAGGGTTAAAAGTTAATATTGGTAAGACGAAGGTAATGGTGAGTGGGGAAGGTGGGGAGCGAGTGATAAGTAAAATAGACCCCTGTGGGGTATGTGACAGGAGAGTGAAGGCTAACTCGGTATTGTGTATAGGATGTCAGAAATGGGTGCATAAGAGATGAAGTGGTGTGATGGGGGCACTGAAAAAGGTGGAAGGCACGTTCAAATGTAAGAAATGTGTTCATGGTGTGATTAATAGGATGGACGCAAGGACGGGGTTGAGTGGTGGTATTGAAAGAGTGGAAAGCTTTGTTTACTTAGGGGATATGCTGAACGCGGATGGAGGATGTTTGAGCGCAGTTACGGCTAGAGTTCGTGTGGGATGGATGAAATTTAGGGAACTGGGTGGGGTATTGTGTGGAAAGAAATGGTCAGTGAAGATGAAAGGGAGGGAATA